CACAGAAAAATGACTGACAAACTGCCAATGTAGGTGGTCAGTTTAAAATTTCCTGCTTTGTTGAGAAGTCTTCCAGACACACTATGGCCTATGGGCTGAAAATGGATGCCCCAGTGTTACAGAGGAGCTTTGGGTGACTTTTCAGGTAGCAAGATGTCTCTGTCAATTCTAGTGTTTATATACTATCCTTCTTAAGTTGAAGACAGATAGTTATAATTATATTTTCCTTAGTTATGATAAAAGATAAGTTCATATAAGACTTTAGACTCACACAGATCAGATAAAATCCTTTCTTTAAATCTTACTAAATATTAATGAACAAAATATTGTAACTATAATCTTGCTTGAAAGCTGTTTTGTTATATGTAATTTGACTATGTTAAAGTTAAAACCTTTCTTTTTATTTAGACAGAAAAGAGGAGATGTGCTTATCTTATTGGTTGATGAATAAAGCACTGTTGGTCAATAGGGAAGCAAGATAGGTGAGAACAGGAGTCTAGGAGGATTTTGGGAAATGTAGTAAAGAGACTGGTCTTGATGTAATCTCCCGGGAACAAGGGGAGCTCAGGAGTGAGTCCTCAAAAAGTTAAGTCCTTATAAAATATATATTAGTAATTATGGGTTAATAATCAAGTCAGAGTTCGCCGATTAGAAACCAAAGCAAACAGCCAACAGCTTCATAATTAATATACTGTCTTGTGCATTATTTGGGGGTTGAACACAACAACAGGACCCAGGCAGCAGTCAGGAAGAGTACACATTGCAGTCAATCTAGTTATTTAATTTTGTTTGCAAACATAAACTTCTACATTTAGCTGTGATCCTTACTTTCAAGGACTTTTAGAGTTGTGCATCCCAGGATCAGTCCAACAGGGAAGTGCACTTCTTCCTTGGCTTGATACTCTCATTTGTTGGCATTCTGGAATTTCTTGGATTCTCATCACAGTGTAAGGAAGAAATGACTTTGGAGTCCTTCTATCGTCTTAAACGAACCTCTGAGATGCCCACATATGTGTGTGTGTTGTATATACCGAAGGAAAAAATAGAGAAGGGTGTTTACCAAACGAGTACGAACCTCCCACAATGTGTGTACCAACAGCCTGTCTAGCAACATCTGGGAGAGCATGCTGTACGGAAACAGGTAATTTGAGCATAGGATTTTCTCATAACATTCACACATCACAGAGAGACTGATTATTGACCTCTTTAGACAGGAGGAGGAAATTCTAGTCCTGCCAGAGTTTTAGAGCAAACCCAAGTATATTTTGAATTCATAAAGGAATGCCAGTTCTTTGTTCTTTCTGAAACTTTTTTTGTTTGTTTCCAAAGCTACAGCTCACAGTATCATCGGGCATTATTTGGCATTATTGTTGCTGTGGGACATGTATCATATATATATTTAATCTGTTGAACCTAGTTCATTAGTCTCCTATAAACAATGCCCAATAAAGAGTTAAAATAAATATGAATGAAGAATTAGGAACAATGTTTCAAGAATTTTTGCCTCCCTTCTCTCTCTTTGTCTCTTTCCCTCTCTTAGCGATAGTGTCTTCTACTGAGGAATTATCTTGCTTCTGCTGTTCCTTTAAGGTTATTGTTTGCTTGTTAAGTGTAAGTATAAGATACTATTTTGTTTTATGGGAAATGATTTAAAACAAATTAAAAGTCCTGTACAAAGTTCATTCATAAACACAATTTCTTGTCTCCCAGTACTAAGCTGTCACCGCCTCTTATCTTCAGAGTGAGTTTCCTCCAGTGTTTTCTTTTATGACATTAATCTGCCAACTTTCCCAAAACTCAACCTCCTTCCGTAGCCATTCAACTTGTGTCCTTAAAAAAGTATATTCAAGAGCCAATTGCTTCCCAAGTCTGTGGTCTTACCACTGAAGTATAATTAACTTACCAGGGCCTACACAATAAATAAATAAACAATAAATAAATAAATAAATAAATAACTGACCCTCCTTACATCAGCTAGCATTTGCCTGTCAGTCCCTGACCGGGGTAAGGCTGTGTGTCTACCCCTCTTCTCCATGTTTTGATTTCTTCTGGTTTGGGCTGGTTTTGTGCATCCTATATAATTCAACCTTCTCATCTAACTTTTGTTCTTTCTTTTCAAGTATTTATTTTATTTTAAATCATTTATAATCGAATATATATGTTCATATAATTATGAATAAATATGTATAATGCACCCACCATATTTTTACAGTTTGTGTCTCTGTTGGTAGGTATGTGCAGGTGAGTGCAGGTACCCACACAGTCAGAAGGAGGGATGGCCCTGGAGCTGGAGCTGCAGGCGGTGTGAGCCTCCAGATGTGGGTGGTGGGAACTGAACTAGAATGTGAGGGGTAGCATCTGCTGCTAACCACTGTGGCATCTCCCCAGGCCCATTGCTCTAACTCCGCTGTCACACACACACACACTAAGTGGCTTCAGTAAAATCACATGTTTAACTTTTCATGAAATCAACGACGGCATGTACATTATCCAATTATTATACAGGTTATATGCTCATAGTATGTGGTAGCATAAATACAACTCTTTTTACATTAAAATTTTATTATTTTTAACCAATTGCTTTAGAAAGCAATTGCCTTGCAAAGCCTAAACCTCCAAATAGGGTTCCAAATAATAAAATAAGTAGTTGTTCATGTAAAGCTATGAGGCATGCTCACACCACAGTGGCTAGAGGGTTTTGATTAGGTGTTCAGATGCAGCATGAATTCGTGCCCACGCTGGCTGCATGCACACCTAACGTTCCCACTACCTCCACCTACTGGTGGATAGTGGGTAATACTTCATCATTCTTGGCATGGATCTGCTCTTAACCTTCAAACCTAGGAAAAGAAAAAAAGACTCAACTCCATATAGGCCATCTTTTTAACCGTGAACGTTGTCCTGTGTATTATAACAACAGTTGCCCTCACAGTGATCCTTCTTCGTGCCGTCTTGGTTTCTTTTGTTCGAAGAATGTTTTAAAAAATGGAAGACTTTTCTTGTCCTAAATTCAACAAAAATAGTTAAAAATAGTTCTTGAACCCCAGGAGGTTGACCCATGGCAAAAGTAAACTAATAATTATGTATGTTGATGAAATCACTGCTGATTATAAGTAAATGGAAAATTTACTGGATGTTAAGGCAAAACTGGACTAAAACCAGTATTGGGTGAGCCTGGCAGCTGAAATCATCCCCACCTTTGATAATGATTCCTAGAATTGAGTGATGGAAGCTTTGTGACATAGCACATTATTCAAATAAGATTCCCCACTTCTATGCCAGGTCAGATCCTGAAACAAAAGAATATTTGCACAGATTGTTAACACCTTTTTGTTCCCAAGGCTTTTATTTAAAAAAAAAACAAATTTTTACTTAAATTAAAAACAATCTTATTTTACATACCAATCCCAGTTCTCTCTCCCTCCCATGGCCCCACTAACCTACTAACCCCCCACATCCCACTCCCATCCACTCCCCAGGGAGGGGGCCTCCCATGGAGTCATCAAAGTCTATCACATCATTTGCAGCAGGACCTAGGCCCTCCCCTGTGTATATAGGCTGAGAGAGCATCCCTCCATAGGGAATGGGCTCCAAAAACCCATTCATGCACTAGAGATAAATACTGGTTCCACTGCCAGAGGCCCCATAGACTGTACAGGCCCCCCTGGCTGATAGCCATGTTCAGGGGATCTGGGTCAGTCTTATGCAGCTTTCCCAGCTGTCAGTCTGAAGTCCCTGAGCGCCCACTTGCTCAGATCAGCTGTTTCTGTGGGTTTCCCCAGCATGGTCTTGACTCCTTTGCTAATCACTCCTCCCTCTCTGCAACTGGATTACTGGAGTTCAGCTTAGTGCGAAGCTGTGAATCCCGGCTTCTGCTTCCAGCTTCCATCAGCTACTGGGTGAAGGCTCTATGTTGGCATTTAAGGTAGTCATCAATCTCATTATAGGGGAAGGGCATTTAAGGAAGCTTCTCCATTATTACTTAATTCTAATTTGGGATCATCCTAAGGCTTTTCACCAAATCCCAGAAACACAAAGCCAAACCAGAACATCACCAAAGCATACAATTAATATATGAACAAAGTTGGCCATACTTATTAGCAGTTGTTGTATGTATTAGAGACTACACTTAGAAATTTTATCGGGCAGTCAAAGTGGGGGGACTTGGACCCCATTGTCCTCCTAACTCATGCTCTTTTAAGTTCTTCTTTTCTTCAAGTTTACATATATTTCAGTGCAGCGACTGCTGCGCAGCCTGTACCCGAGAATGTGGTGAGGGTGTCCGGATTGATGACACAGAGACCATAAGGCTCCTTAAGAAGGCTCTTTTATTTCTACTCTGGTTGGTTATTATATACCCTGACACCAGAGGCAGCATGGGTGGGTCTGAAGAGGCGGTTAGTCTTTGGAAAAGGTCGAGGTTAGGGTGGTCTCCATGGGCAAGCCCTTTTTAGGAACTTATTGCCCCGGGAATTGTATTGTTTTTAGTAAACATGTTTTTAGTAAACATTGTCTTACAGCTGCCTACTCCCAGGCTGATGGGGAAGTGGGTCTCTGTCCAAGGTCTGTTGTCCCCACATTTCAGAATGCATTTTACAAGAATAATCTCTCTCTCAATGTTATATGGCACAGTCTGCCTAGTATTCCCTCTGAATTTCAAGTATTTTACACAAAATAGTGGTTCATAATTCCCCACGTAGCAGAAAACTCACAGTCATAAGCTTACCATTCTAATATAATTTGTTTTCTTCATTTCACTGTGTGAAAGTATTAACAGACAGGGAAACCAGAAAAGTTGAAAAATATCTGCAAATATAAAAGGGTTACTTAACTTTTTAAAATTAAAATAGCAAGTGAAAGATACAGAAAAGCTCAAAGAGATGTTTTGAGGTAATTTTGAAGAAGATGAAAATAACAATGGTGTTCACGAGATATATAGATGTCTAGTTGTACATTTTTATTTAAACTTACAACTTGCCCCTTTGTAAAAGATAAGGCATTGTCAGTCTAAGATATACTAAAATATACAGGAAGAAAGAATTATGTTTGGTTTTTGCATGTCTATATAATGGTAAGAAAACCATTTAGCATCTTTCTCCCATGAAATACATGCTCTGATTACAGGGACTCATAAGAGTGGGTAGCAGTCAAATTCCTAGACTAACATAGGAGATCAAAAGACAGTGTGACCCTTAACACAGTAGGTAGTAGGCACCTTTTACATTTCTGGTTTCCCCAGTATAAGATCAGAAGAAGCCGTTCCCACAGGTTGGCTGGTAAGAAACAGATTGGCAACTTTTAGTAGAGAAACAAGTTGGACGGTAAAAGCTGGATCTGAGATTTAGGGATGAGAAAGCGCGAGTACCGCATCTCACTGACTGGAAACCGTGGGATCCAAAGCCCAAGGTTGGGTAACCATAACCAAAAGACTGGAAGCCCCTGGAACCAAAGCCCAGAGATCCTGAGAAAGTTGACTGGCAGGGTCTGTAGGACGCTGGAATCCTCTGGTGGTAGCAAGGCCTCTGGCAGGGTCTGGAGACCACATAGGATGTCTGGAAGCTGGTGGGCTCACAGAGGGTTTCCTGACACCCACTGTAGACAGAGGAGCCCAGCTGGTGGGTGATGGGAGTTTGGAGGTCAGTGCTGTAGAAGACATTGTTGGGGTAGGAGGAAGAGACCGGGTATTGCAGTTGGCCCCCAAAGGACAGGGAGGAGAAGTTTCTGGAGCAGCTGTTGCAGGACATGTTGAGAGGGGAGAAGGATGTTCAGGGTTTGAATGACCCTGCTCAGACACACGGCATTTATATATCCCGTGTCCTTGGTTGCGTCATTCCCATGGCTCATGCACACAAGTTACCTGCGGCTTTAATTGAATTGAAAATACTGTCATAGTCATGCATATTTACTTTTCGTGTGGTTTCACAACTGGATAGAGCAGTGATGTCTGTGGCCCAGGAATTCAGGTAATAGTGTTCAATCTTCAAAGCTATTATTCATCTTCCATCAGCAAAAGGTCACCCTGCACATCACTCAGAAAACTGTTTAAGAGGTAGACTGTCGGGGCTGAGGGAAGCCAGCTTAATTAAAAATAATTGATACCCGTTGCACAATCTGTCCGAAAATTGTTGCCATCTGGGTAGCAAAGTTGTTCGTGGATCCACTCACAGTCATTTCTTTTAAACAAAAACGCGCACTGATTGCTGCCTCAAACTGGCAAGCTTCTGTGATGAATAGTGTCATCCAAACACTGGCCTGAAAGATGTATGAGGACTTTAAAAAAATTGGACCTCAGTTTTAACGGCTTTACTGAAATATGGACAGATCCCTTTCTCATGCATCTGCCTAAAAATGGAAACCAGATATTTAATGCCAGTCTTAACTTTTATTTGTGTGTATTAGTGTATTAGTGGGTGGATGTAGAGTGTGTGGGGGGGGTTAACTGTGCTGTGAGCTAAACACTTTATGCTTTGTGATAGTTTGAATGCTACAAATTATTCACCTAAGATGATAACATGCATTAAAAGGAACAAATCTTTAGGCAATGATGTTCGATATATTTCTTTCTCTAATCAGGATCCTTATTTCCCACTGAAAATGGTCCCCATAACCTAATAAACATGCTCCTTCTAAAGAAAGCTTATAAAGCGATTGCCTTGAGGTGTCAGGCCAAAGGAGCCATCGCCAAGAGATGCTTCCTCTGCCCAGAAGGCTGCATATATCACTTTGACTTAAATTGTTTTCAGGTGCTCCTGACAAGTATTGCAAAATGTCCAAAGTGAGGGTCATATTTCCTCCATTTCCATGGCTTGTGTTCCACCTTGGTGCAAGAGTCTAATGAAGACTGATGCCTGGAGGTGGGCTGGAGAAAGTGTAGAGGGTGATATCAGTGAGCCTTAGGTGCTGTTTGATTTGTTTCCTATTATATATCGTTTCCTTCTAGTTCTGAACAACACAGATTTCTTTTTTGGATGAAAGAGAATCAGTTGTTTTTCTTCTGCCTCTTTGTTCCTCTTCCTCCTCCTTCTGTTTGTAAAATTAAAAAATTGAGACTCATAAAGTCTAGAATTTGGGGGAGATTTTCACAAATATTTCCAGTTTTTTTTTAAATCAGATTAGAATCCTAACAACCTGATCCAATAATCCCAAAACTCTCAGGGTAGAGGTTTCTTTAGCTTCTTGTAGATTTGTTCTTTAAAATTAGACTAAGTTATCATTATTCTTCATAAAAGTTAATCTCACCTCATTTTCAATGTATAATTTATGCTGAGAATGGGTGGTACACAGAGTTTTTCCATTTCCACAAGCTTACTTAGGTAACTTCCTGGTTACTTGGGTAACTTCCTGGTTACTTAGGTAACTTCCTGTACCAAGGTACCAATCGTAAAGTACAGAAAAATATCAAGATTTAGTTTTCTAGGAGGAATATATAAATTACTCAAAAGATGCACAAGATTAGCAACGTTCAAGTCCTTTCTTCTCCAATTCACATTCTCATCCCTTTAGACACCCTTCTGTACCCACATTTCAATAGATAAGGGTCATTTGTATAACCATGAATTCTCCAAATTATTAATCCTTGTGTGAAATCTTCATGCAACAGATACTCTCCACATTTCTTATTTTTTTCAAAACGTTTTGCAATAAAAATCCCACCATCTAAAAGGAAAACTTGTATGGTCATAAAATATTGTTTAGGCCTTGCTACTTTGTTTCCAGTGACACCAGTACCACCAAGAGGGGAGAGATGTGCTTTAGGAAGATAAGGGCATTCTGACAATCAATCTAGGTAAGTTCCTTAATGACTTTCCTTGTGAAGCAGTGGAGGTGTGGGGAACACTTGATTTGAATTTCAAAATAATTAAAGTTAAAGAGATGACAGCATAGCCCAGTGTGAGGGAACTTCCACGTGGCGCTGAGTGTGTTACCCAGAAGGGACAAACAGAAAAGAGGGAAGAAGAAATCAGGAGAAGAGAAAGGCAAGACAATAACGGGATTCTCGTTCTGTGACAAATATCTTATGCTATAATGTTCTAAGCACTCAGGCACACATGGGTCCTCTCTACATCACACAACCATGTGCACAAACACGAGTTGACAAAGTGTGATAAACAGCGTTGACCTTGAATGCCTTTCCTCCTGAGGGTTCATATGGTATTGTTCCTTCTATAAAGTCCACAACATTTGGAAGACGAAATGTAATATGGCCATTTATTTTGTGTTGTTTTCAATCAAGTTTCTAAACTTGGAGCACCATAATTCTCTTTCCAGAAGGCAAAATTCGGTAGTGTTGAGCCCTGCAGGATTATTGCTGTATCATCCATTCAGTCACATCATGGACATGGGAATAAATAAAGCATATATCTCAAAGACTTAATTATGTTGGCTTTCATTCGACTTACCGGATATTGAGAAATTGCATTTTTGCTTCATGAATAATTGCTTTGGAAACTAATGAAATTCCTTCATTTAGATGTGCACATTGATGAAAAGGCCTTTGAAGGTTAGAGTATTTCATTTTTACTGGAGCCTAATTAGGCATTCTCATTAAAATGGATACAGACTGCTACACCCATCTCTCCGGTATATAAGGACCTGTGTCAGATGGTGGTACTCACACTCGCAGATTCATCACTGCAACTCAACTGCAACCAGAACTCCTGACAACATGTCTTACGTTTGCAACTCCGGCAACTTCTCCTCACAGTCTTTTGGAGGTTTCTTGAGGCAGCCAGTCTCCACCTATAGCTCTTTCTACCCCACCAACAACGCAGTCTATTCCCCGAAGAACTTTCAGCTGGGCTCCTCTTTCTATGGTCAGCAGGAGACCTTTGAGGAGCCACTGGAAGGCTACTCACCCTGTGGTGGAACCAGATACTTCCAGACATCCAGCTTCCGGCCCAAGCAGTACTTCTCCAGCCCCTGCCAGGGAGGCTTTACTGGATCTTTTGGATATGGCAATTCAGGCTTTGGATCCTATGGGTATGGAAGCTCTGGCATTCGCTCTCAGGTCTATGGATCCAGCTTCAACCGCCCAGGATTCTTTTCCTCCAAGAGCATCCAGTCGTCTTATTACCAGCCAGGCTTCAGCTCTCGCTTTTGCGGGTCAGCTTTCTGAACATCCCAGCCGCGTCCCACGGTGGTTTCTGAACGGCTTTCCAGCATCTAGGATTGAGCAATGAGCATTTGTCTCTCTGGGACTCAGCATCATGATCTACCTGGAAGCAGATGATTGTCTGAGGACAGTGTAACTTTGACCTTTGACCTTTCAACTCTTCTACAGGAGAGAGCTTACATTTTAATTATTATGTAAATTCTTGGATCTCTTCTTTTACCATCCATCCCTCTATATGTCTTCTCTTATTATTTCCTTAAGATCCCTCTACTCAAGTTTATTTTAAATAAACTTACATCCCTAGCATTAATTTTGGCATTCCAGTTTGGTTTTTTGTTTCATAAAAGATGTATTTATTCAGTGCATCTGATACTTAAACTGTTTTCAGATTTTCCCCTCTGTTTTACTAGCATTTTGCTTGACAGAAAAGCAAAAGCATTGGAAGGAATTTAGAATATGTGTCTTATCTCATGCCATCTTTCATAGTTTGAAAGGTTTGTATCAGCTTATGGGTCCATTTGTTCATGTAAGTACTTCAGATAATTTCTTTTCAGTGGGGCATTCAAAGGAATGCAATTATTGAGTTCATACTATACACCAAAGACTGCAATAGACAAAGGTGTAGGTTCTCTAATTTTAGGAAGTACAATTCTAGCTTGACATCATGTGACAAGTCAATAATGGAGATGAAAATATAACATTCAGAAGAAACACTAAGGAGGATTTCACAAAGAGGCACCGAATGTCATGTAAACTTATAATTAAAAGCAAGCAGAAAGCACTAGTTATTTAGTTAGTTCATTCACTAATTATTTCATTTAAATCAAAAGAACCTTACTGCTGTGTCACAACCACTTTGAATCCATTAAAGAGCAGCTGGCACAGAGGGTTAGGCAGGAAAGGGTTTGTCATCGGAAAATACCAGTGAGGGAAATGGGAAGGTATCTGGGCTGTATGTCTGAGCTCAGTGAAGGACAGAGAGAATGAGAGATGCTTAGATCAAAGATCCCTTTCGTGGGGAAGACAGGACACTAGAGATCGAAACCATTTTGTTGCACATGCCGAGACATTGGCATATAAGTAAGATACTGCTGAGTTTTAAAATAATTTCACTTTGAATAAGGTTTTGAAAAATTGCCCAGACTAGCTTTGAATTTGAAATTCTCCAGCCCTAGCCTCTTGAGTACCTGAAACTATAAACATCTACCATCATACCTAGATTTTTAGAGAAGAAAAATAGAGCCTTGAAAATTTTCTTGGCCATTTAGCTATCTATGGATACCAAAAATGAACAAAAAAAGGTTTGTCTTGTTGCTACTTCTGAGTTCATTTACTAGTAAGCAAAAACAACATGACCTTGCACAGAGTGGTGTGATAGATACATACATCCACTAACTCACTCATGGGCCTGTTGACCAATAATACTACCTAAAGTAGGAAACATAAAGACTATCACTTCATAGTATTCACAATTAAGTGTTTATTCTGTTTTAAGTAAAAAAAAAAAACAAATCACTGATAAACCATGGTAAAATGATAAACAATGATGTATAATTTTTCCATGAGTTACCTTAAACAGAATTTGTTTGATAAAAATCAGTCACATGTCGAATCATCTGTAGTACTCATTAGATGAAACTCCAATTATGTAACTGAATATGGGACACCTCTAAACTATGTTTTTTGTGTGAGGCTCTGAGTTCCATGAAAATGGAAAATCTATTACTTTTTGAGGGGGGGCAGTTTTGAGGCAGAATTTCTCTGTGGCTTTGGAGGCTGTCCTGGAGCTTGCTTTTGTAGACCAGGCTGGTCTCGAACTCACAGAGATCCACCTGCCTCTGCCTTTGCCTCTAGAGTGCTGGGATTAAAGGTATGTGCCACTACCGCCTGGCGGAAAATCTACTCGAAAACTAAGATTTTAAGAAACAGTTTTATTTCGCCTTAACAGCTAAGTCCTACCCAATATTAGTCAACACTTTTATGGCCACATCTGAAACTTTGCTTTTTCCTCTCTTCTGGACTGTGTTGAGGTCCTACCATCCCCCTTGCTTGGAGTAGATTGATGGTATGTCTCTTTAAATCTTTTTCTGGTACCTTGTTGTCCACAAATGTAGGCCTCCTGACTGGTAAAAAAGACTTTAACCAAAGAGAAGAATGAGAAGAGACATGACAACATGGCATAATACTTCTGGTTTCAACACAAAGCTTTAGGCTATCAATGGCAACATTACTTGGTTGTCCATTTCAGAAAACTTCAGGTGGAAAAAGTCAAGGTTAAACGCAAGAAAAATTTCACTAGTGCTTCAGAAGATCCCTGTTGACTAGCATATTGGAGGTCATTGCATAAAAGTCTATGTAAGCAACTGTATAATTAAGCAACACTTTATGTATGGAAGCCTTTATTTCTCTATGGAGGTATACATTTCTGTATGCTCCCCTTGCTATGCCCGCTAATCCTCAATAATTCTCCTCTTTGAGCCAACTTTCTCATGATTTCTCGTCTAACACCTCACTATGTAGATGCCATTGTATTATAAGTGCACTCATTATTAATGCAGAAGTGTTGAATACTTCATTTTATTAGATTCTGGTGGCATCAGAGGCTATTCGTTAAAGAGAGAAAGCCTTTAGAATAGAATGCTTTTAGTTATCACACACTCTAGTATGTATTTTTATGCACTACTCAGGAAAAGCAATTTTAATGCTCCTTGAAATAGTATTTGGAGGAGTACCTTTTGTATATAATTAGGTTTAGAATATCAATGTTTTGTGTTGAAATGAATGTTCAGATAAAAAGGTAAGATGACATGGTGAGGATACAGAGACAAGGGATCATCAACAAACAGAGACAAAGCCCTACCCAAGAACAAGGACTCTGTTGGCTCATATCTTCTTGAATTTCCTCATCTCTAGAAGTGTAAGAAATAAATACTTGTTTAACATATATAATCTAAAATATCTTATTGTTGGAGTCTAACCTGAGATATATCATTCATCTGAATACCCCTAATTTCATTACAAAGTATTTTTGTATAGGGAGATTCTCTCTCTCTCTCTCTCTCTCTCTCTCTCTCTCTCTCTCTCTCTCTCTCTCTCTCTGCCTTCCCTTCTTCCCTCTCCCTTTTCCCTTCCTTCTCT